ATAAATGTCCGTCTAGCTAAACAGATCCTTTACAGCTTTACCAGCGGGGACAGAATCTACATGGCTCCCAGGTCCAAGCCACAGGTTCCAGGCAGGATGGTGTCCCAGCCCTTCCATACCTCTCTCCTCTCCTTTTCCATACATTTTCCCCAAGGAGGCTGGGAGCTTGCCCCATTGCTCTGCCTCACACTACTGAACAACAACAAAAAAATGCAAACACGCCCTGGAAGAGGAAAAGTAGCAAAAAGGGGAAAAAAAACCCCCCAACAACTGGGAGAACAGGAGGACTGTAATGTGTACACATATCATACGAGTTAGCATATCCCAAAGCCCCCTGGACAGAAACCAAACAGGAAATCTAGAATCATTACCAAATGCACTTCCCCTGCTTGCCCTGCCCTAGGCCTCTGGGGGTGGGTCAAGGATGTTCAGACCCAGCTCACCGGCTGGAAACCGCAGGAGGGTGGGACTTTGAAGGATTGATTGGCATTTCCTCCCCCTCTCTTCCCTTCTGACCTCTTGATAGGGTTTCTCCCTGGATGGCTGATGGGATGAGATGGAAGGCTCTTGCTGCTGACACCCCCCAGGAGCAGCTTTTCCGTGGAGGCCTCCCACGGTGTTGGAGCCGGAAGGTGGCCGGCAGCTGGCCACCCTCACCCCACTCCACTGAGAGCTATGTGATGGCCCTGGCTTTGGGATCAAGACCTCCTGCTCTTAAGAAAACAGATCCGAAATCTTGGCCTCAAAATAAAATATGTTCAGAGGAAGCAAGTAATCCTCAGAGTGAAACACAGGCCACAGGATAGAGGAAAAAGGTCTCAGCAGAAAGCTGAGCTCCGGTGACCATGAGTTCAAGTTCACCCTCCACGGGCTAGTCCTTTTGCTCTGAACACAGCCAAGGATAGTGCCCTGGCTCTGTGCTGGCTGCGTCCCCAGTCCATCAAAGGTCAGCCAACTTTTTCCGTAAAGGGCCAGATAGTAAGTATTTCCAGCTTTGCAGGCCACAGGGTCCCTGTTGCAATTACAATAATACCCTGGTTTGCGAGCATAATTCGCTCCGGAAACAAACTACTCGTATTGCAAGACATCGCTCGTTGACCACGTTAAAAGGTATTAGAAATGTTTGCTCATCTTGCAGAACACTCTCAAACCAAGTTACTCGCAATCCGAGGTTTTACTGTACTTATAACTGTACTCCTACAGCATGACAGCAGACACAGATACCACATAACTGAATGGGCATGGCTGTGGCCCAGGGTGTCTTTATTTATAAAAGCAGGCAGCTGGCCAGATTTGGCCCACGGGCTACAGTTTGCCAACGTCTTGACATAGATCGTGAAGACAGCAGAATGATGGGATGGTTGGAGACTCTGGGCTTTGAAGTCTGGCCAGACCTCGTTCAAATTTCTGTCCAAGCTCTGTCACCTTGGACCTGTCACTTAACTCTATCCAGTTCAATTTCCCCATCTTTAAAATCGGAGGAGAGCACCTGCCTCACTGGGCTACCGTGATAAGATGAACGAAAAGCGCCTGACACGCAATGATCACTGGCTGTTTAGCATTCTCTTTATGAGGGGCAGTATGCGGAATCAAGGGGCGTGGCTTTGAGCCTTTCATCGTTGTTGGAAAAGCCCCGGTACACCTGACTGATGAGGGTCCACAGTGTCTGTGCAAAAACTCACTTCCTAAAACTAATGCGCCATCGGTTCACTTCATGACATTCAATCGGTGGTTGCACGTTAGAATCATCTGAGTTTTTATTTTTTTGCGGGGTTTTAAAATCTCATCGCGCGTACTGTACCTCAGACCAATTACAGCAGACCCTCCCCTCCCCAGGCATCAGTTTATTTTAAAGCTGCCGGGTGATTCCAGTGTGAAGTCCAAGTAGAGACCCACTGGGCTACACACCGATGGGAACAGCAAGGAAGGGTCCTCTCATTCCTTTCTGCTCAAGGCGTGGCCCAGGCACCAGCAGCAGCAGCAGCACCACCTGGGAGCTTGGGAGAAAGGCAGACTCCCAGGCCCCGCTCCCAAGCCTGCTGGATCAGACCCTGCATTCTGACAGAATCTCCAGGGGATTCCTGGGTACATCCAAGGTTGAGGGATACCAGTCTGTTCCACAGATGCCTAACCAAACTTGGCTCATTGAAGATTTCCAGAATCGTCCGGAAAGCTTAAAAAATTCCGAGACCTCATCACCAAACTCACGGGCTCAAAATCACCATGGGTGGCCCAAGGATGGGCCCTTTGTGCCTGTATTTCATTTGAAAAATTTCAAACATATAGAAATGTGGTACCCACATACCTGCCACCTAGAATCTCTGATTGTTAAGATTTCCCTACGTTTGCTTTGGCACATATCTATACATTTATCTACGCATCCACCCACCTCATGTGTGAAACGCAAAGTAAAATGCAGACATCGGTATCCTTCATCCCTAAACATTAAAGTATGTGTGCACACCATTAATTTTTAACAAGATCTCCAATTGATTTCTGTGCTGTGAACCCAGAATCCTACCTGTCGCATTTAGGAGCTACCCATCTAGTGTCAGTCTCTTTGTCTGTCCAGAGGGAACAGTTCTTAGGACTTCTGGCAAAAAATGTCCTCCCATTTTTTACAAAAGTGATGCTATGGCCTCTCAGTGCTGTGACTTTCGGTTTTAGGAGGTGATTTCTGGTGTTTGACCTAATTCCACAAGATTCCAGAATACCCCATCTGCTTTTTCCCTTGGTAGGACCTTAGACATTGGTCACGCACGACAACCTCTACTGTAGCTCTTGTACTTAAAGATGTTACTAAGTGAACGCTGCCAGGTCTCTGAAACCTTCTCTGGTGGTTTCCCTCCAAAACTATTTCCTGGCAGAACATTCTAGTTTTCCAGCATTCAATTCGTGGAGGCTCATGGTGAGCCTTCCATTGAGTTTCCCAGTTCTGCAGTGGAGACCCTTTGGAAGGCCATACGGACATGCTACCATAGCCATTCCTTCTGGTTGGGGAAGAACATGAACTAGAGAGCAGCAATTTCACCTACGCCAACACCTACACGTCTGGTTATCCCTCCATCTTGGTTTTTCTATTGACAGTTACCTGTCGCATACAAAACTCCAAGCTCTGTCAGAGCTGATGTGACCCAAAAACTAATCAAAGGTATTTTTCTGGCTAGTTTAACCCAGAAAGGAGGCTGGCCCTCGAACACAAAGCAGGACCCTTCATTCTGGTCTGCAACACAAGCTCCTTTAGGAAACAGGCTCACCATTCCACCACTGCACCCAGCTTTCAAGGAATTTTCCAGAATTATTGAGGTGGAGCTGCAGTCAGAACCAGTCCAGCCTGCACCCTTCTGCCCCTCTTCAAATTTCAGAATTGCGAAAACCCTCAGGATAACTTAACAGGAGTATTGCCCCCAAATAATTGCCTAGTGATTTCTAAATACTCTTTTCAACAGCCGAGGGAGAGGCTGTCTCAGAGTCTGAACACACATGCCCCGAGTCGCTCGTCTTACACATAGAGATAACTGGGTCATGAATAAGGTCACGCTTTCTTCAGCATTCCCACCTGCAAATGGGTTCTCTCACTCCCACCCTTGCCCACTTCTTTTTCCAGACCACCCACTCTCTGTTTGCATTGGTCCTCCAACCTTGAAACCTGACACCCTCTTCTCTAAGAACCACCCATGTTTAAACAAATAAATACCCCAATGTAGCCCACTCTCTGGTGGTATTCAAATAAATGTCCCAGGAAGGAGTATGGGAGGAGGGGAAGGTGCTCTGGGCCTTCTATGGCTTGCCTGCCTGGAAGCATCCTTGGGCCGGCGCTTACGTACAAGAGCTACGAGACCCATCAGAATGGAGAGGGGCTCCCTGGGCTAAGGGGGATCTGTAGGTGGTCTCCTGGGGACTTTGTGGCTGCTGGAACTCAGGGAAGAGGAGGCGGGGACGGTAGGTGATGCCCAGTCAAAAAGGAAGCCCTCCAAAACCTGTGCAGAGATTTCCTTGAGCTCCGAGTGATTCAGCCATAAGCCTTTAAGTCCTTATGACTGGGGTGGGAGTGCTAAGTGCCTTTTGGGAGGGTGGATGGGTGGGTGAGTGGGAGGAACACGGATCAGTTCTCCATGACTCAGAAACACTTAAATATAGCCAGAGAGGAGGCTGCAGTGAGGAAAGGGGGGAGAGGGAATGGAGAGGAAGAGGAGGGACCCGCCAGTCAAAAATCTCCATGCCTCTGACTCAATAGAGAAAACCACCCAGAGTCCTTGGTTTCACGGAATGTGGACGGCTAGGAAAAAAAGTTTCGGCTTTGTCACTGGTTGGTCAGTCAATGGAGTCACTAATGAAAAGCATTTTCAAGCGTATCTGAGAAATAAAAGGGAAATTGACAATTGCCGCTTTAAGAGGACTTCAAGTAGTTGTAGACCTCCCCCCCATCAGAGGAAGGGAGGTCTGAGAGGCGAGCTCAGAAGTTGGCCCAGTGGGTTTACGGGTTGCTGAGAAAAGTGTGGACGAGATTGTGCTAGAAAGCTGGCTGCACACCACTAGTGCGTAAGGCAGAGGGGAGGAGAAAAGGAGATCACATTTAAAAAATAAACACAAACCCCAAAATAAACACTGTTAATGGAAGTGACTAATCAAGGGTGTACTGAACTTGGTGGTTCCTGATAAGATACAGGGGGAAATGCACTTGGAAAAAATAACAGATTTTTTTTTCCCCCCTTTGGTAAATAAAGTGATGGGAAAAGGGTGCGGGGATGGGGGGGGGACTAGGGCTGGTGCTTGCTTTAACCCTCTGCAGAGGTTTAAAACACGTTTCTCAATCTTGGCACTGCGGACATTTGCGGCTGGATAACACTTTGTGACGGAGCTTGGCCTGCGCATTGCAGGGTTTTGAGCAGCACTCCTGGCCTCTACCCAAGATGCCAATAGTACCAGTCCCCACTAGCTGTGACAACCAAAAATGTCTCCCGACATTGCAAATGGCTCCTGGGGTGGGGGAGGAAGAGGAGGGCAAAGTCACCCTTGGTTGAGAACCACTGGTTTGAAATCAGGGGCATAGTTGCTGTAGGGGCTCAGAAGGGCCAGACAGCTGGCCAGCTGGAATGGGCTACAGCATCTCGCGCATTTGATCATTTGGAGGTAGCCAATGGCTGTGCGCTAATGGGACCTCAGCGGGAAGCCACCCATCAGCATCCGGAGCAACACAACCAGGATCTTGTCCGTTAGAATGGCTGTAAGAATAGCACCTGATAACAAACAGGGACAGGGCCCTGCTGCTCTCACAGCTCCCGAAAAACAGTTGCCATTGGTCTCAAAGTTGCCTTGGCCGGGAAGGTGAGCGACTATCGTCCATATCTAGGGAGAATTCTGCAGAGAAGGGACATCTGAGACACCAACCGAAGGCCAGTGGGTCAGAGCCACTTGTCTCACTGGGCTGCAGAGTGAGCCGCACATAGGACCAGTGGGAGTCACTTCCCAGACACCAAGTTTGTCTTGCAAGACAAAGGCTGAAGACAGGTCCACGGAGTCAGGAAATGTTTCCAAAGACTGTTTTCAGAGATCCCTTGGCCACCCACAACTCCCTCAGCCTACAAAGTTTGCAGTGACCTAATTTGTATTTAACGCAGCTGTCCCTTTGGTGGGGGAGGGGAGGATTCTCCAAGTCCCATTAGCGAAGCATCAACCACCTCAGGTTCCATCTTCTCCTGTGGTGCTCAGGAATCACCTTTAGTCCAGGCTGCCACATTTCCGGAAGAGATTCTGCACCCCGGCAGCCAGGCCTGTGTGCCCTAAGTCCCACCCAGCAACATGCACCACAGAAAGGCTGTTTCTTGCCATGGGACTTTCTGTCACGTGCACTCACAGAATTAAAGTCTCACCTTGCAAAAGTAAAAATTGTTTCAGACGCTTCTACCTTGTCTCCATAAACTCTGCCCATCTATCAGCTGCTGGGCTGGAGGGGAGAGGTGAGGGGCCGGGTCGAGATGGAGAAAGATGAAGAGAAGGCTATAGGACGGGTCCTTCTGGTTCAAAGCCCCTGCCTTTCTATCTCCCCCTCCCCCCCAATTCTGAAAACCATCACAGAGTCATCTCCCTCACTGGCCTGCAGCTTTCCT